GTAGTGTTTCACTCGACAAATCGCGATATGAATGTTCCACAGACTATCTCTATGCAGGGAAGACGCCCAGCTTGGAGCGCCTTGAAGATCTTCTCGATGTCATGGAGTAAGAAATGCTTTCCTTGCCCACTTCGTTACTGAACTTTCTTACGCAGCCTCTCGAACTACTGGAACATGGGGGAACTAAACCAGTTGGTACAAGTTAAAATCATTGGCAATAATCAAATCTCTCCGGCAACATATGAAGAGGGTAAGCGATTAATATCGGTTGTGTCAATTTTTTGCTGACCAGGCCACCAGTCGTGGCGCGCGCAACAGTCCTGGACGCAAAGCTTCTTCTCGAGGCCTGTCAATTCTTTGAACGGGAGAACCGGGAGGCAATTCTGCGACTCAAGGGACAACAAAAAGGCAAGCCGCGGTCAGCGCGTCGTCTTCCAAAGAAAGCGTCCCACACTCCACGTATTCCGTCTTTCGCCGCCGCTTCGGCCTCTTCCAACCAGTCAGGGAGCCCTCCAAGTAGCCGAATCAAAGTGAAATCACCCACTGCCAAGAAGGTCGCGAAAGGTATCATGAAGGGACTGAGACGGGTAGGCGATACATGGGATTTCATGTCAGAGAAGGAGAAGTAGCGTCCGAAGACGATACTATTGTATTTATTGTATTTTTATTACAAGTGTGTGTATCGTTATACTACAAATGCCCTTTATTGATACAAATGTATAAAATATGCTGCGCCTCGAGCGACAGCCTTGCACACCTGGTGCGAGGGTATCATTTTGCCATAACGGCGAGATTGAGAGCGCCGAGAACGATTTCGTATGCCAGCTCGACGGTGTCCCACAACGCAGCGTCGTCGATGCCAAGCGCGACCATGTCCTGCCAAAGTTCTTTTACATGCGCAGTATGTGTCATCAGGATCTGGACGCTGCCTTTGCAGGAGTTGCAAAGGTGGGCAGAAAGGTGGTGGAGGTCGGCGCCGGACTGAAGCGCGGCGCGGACGGTTTTATGACTCAGGGCGGTTATGAATTGGGGGGGAACAGGGAAAAGCGCGGTCAAAACCGAGGACAGGCTTTTGGTGTAGAGGAAGCTGTGTATGAGGGAGAAGGCGGGAGCGGAGGGAAGGGCGAGCGGGAGGACAGGAAGATGTACATTCCCAGATGAGTGTGGGGCTGCAGGTGGGAGGGGAGGGAGTTTTGAGCAATGGGCAGCGAGGATGAGAGCGTGAACTGGGAAGATGAGGTGCAGTTCCTCGGAACCAGACAAGGATGTATCGGATATAGCGAGAACGTGAGTGGGATAAGAGGGGTTTGCGAGGCTGCGTAGAGGATAGATGGGAACGGAGATGTAGGGAGGGAGAGTTGACTTGGAGAGTGAACTCGGAAGATGAGATGGCGAGAATCCGGAAAGGGCAGCCGTTCCAGCGAGCATCCTACAACACAGTCAGCAAAAGAGGTAAAATATGAAAAGCTTTTAGAAACTGACTGCGGAGCAGTGGCAAGCAGGTTTTTTCGAATGAACTCAAGAGACACATTCCCGAGATTGGGAGCCGCGGCAAGCAAGGCCTCACGCGGAACCTCGGTGAAAGAGGGTCGTACGAGAGTTCGGGGCAGCTGAAATTTGGAAGATGCATCGCGGCGTTTAGAGGGAATTTGGTGTTGCATCATGACGTTGGGGTTCAAAGAGTGGAATGGGAAAGAGATATTTATGTAGAGGGGGAGATCCTTGCAGCCCAGTCGACTCGTTGGGGTCAGAAACGAAATGGACGGGTGAGATTTATAGATGCGCTATACAATAGTTGAAAATGCATATTGTCAGTGCCTTTTGTGGGCCCACCTACTATTCTGAGCAGTGATCCGACTGGTTGAGCTTCCCCCCCGTGCCTGCTTGTTGTGAAGAGAGCCGTAGATTGAATGCTGTTGCTCCATTTCGGGAAAAGACTCCGGAGATTTGACATCAGGTCGGGGCGGCGCTCTAATTGTAAAGTTTCTCGTTGGGGTTCGCTCGCTCGCTTCCTTCAATTGTTTGCAGGTCAAGAATGATCGTGTATGGAGGGAGCATGTGTGAAAATCTCTGCTTATGTTCTAGCCCAAGCTTCGAACATTTGTCAGACTCTTTACAGCTCTGGAGGTAAACTGGGAGTATGGACGCAGTCCCTTTCAGGAATGAACTACAGAGGTAAGAATTTAATTTCCCAACATTCGACGCGTGTACACATTACCGATTTAGAATTCTCCCAGATCAAGGCTTTATTGTCGAGACGGAGGTAAAGACCGAGCTCACTGAAGCGCTGCTATTGTCCATTCCTTGGTCACGATGGTACCTTGCACCCGACTTGCTTCGCACGCAAAGCGCATGCCGACATTCTGGTGGCTTCACCTGGCTGGCACCCCGTCAAGGCTTAATTGTCTTGCAGCCTGGCCGATAGCAAATCCGACAGACAAGCGACTGAACGTGGCAAGAATGGAAAAATCCGTCTCCCTCCGCTGCTGCTGCTTCTGGGATCTGGCCTTGTCTAGTTGTTGTTGCAGCATCCACGGAACGGGCGTCGATGAGCAAAGAGACAATTAGATTCCGTGGTAAGAAAAATTGTGTGACGTCACAGCGATTACGATGCCGACTTGACGACGGCTAGAGTGGAAGGCATGAATATGTAGATGCGCTATATTGCGGCCGAGTCTATACAGTAGTGGTACAGATTATGATATACATATATAGTATGAATGCGGTCTAGTATTCGAGTCCCAGTTTTCGCTGCATGATCAGTGCAGAGAGCAGAATGTGGTCGAAACATTCATGTCCGTCAGGGAAGATGGTGAGTACAGCTTCTGGAAGCGGCGGAGGAGCATCAAGGGGTGGAGGTACGAACGACGCCAATTGAACCATGTTTGATCGCAAAGCATAGCACTGGAACGAAGGTAAGCACTGCGGAGGAACCCAAATTTGACGCACAATGCACAGAGGGGAGCCGTCTTCCAGCATTGAGCGGCAGTCCCACCGCAGCCCAATTTCATCCCATCTCCAAGTCCAATGCCGCTGGTGACATAGAGGTGTCAGAGAACGAAGTTCGTAGCAACAAGAGAAACCTGAACGCACAGGGGAGGCATTGATGTTGAAGAGCACGTTGGAGAGACGCGTTTGTATATCTCCAATTGTGAGGATGGCGCGGCGGTGATTTAGTGATAGTCTTCCTTCGAATTAGGCACACCCAGTATACGGGTGAGAATATGCGCACTCGAAATCCCCGATGAAAGACTGCCGATCGCCGTCGACCCGATATACGCAAGTACGATACGAGATCGGTACGAAGGGGTTGAGGTTCATAGACACCGATATTCGGTACTTCGCTTGGTCGTCCGAGTCTTGAGGCGGTACCAGAATTACTGAGTTTGGGTCGATACCGGAGGAATCAGAGGTGAATGTATAAGACAGAGGATTCTTTGGCCGTCGGACTCGCGAATATTTTGGTGGTTGTGTACGGTTTGAGGTTATATAGCTAGCAGCATTATGAGGTGAAAATTACATTAGGGCGGAGGAAATTATACGAGTATACTCTGGTAGGGGTTCAGCAGGTCTTATAGTCGGAGTTCCCACTACGGTTACGCCATCTTGTGAGTCTGTAAGGGAGATTAACGGCCAGGGAACAAAAGTACGACGAGGGCATACTTAGGACGATCATGGTGGAAGGCAAGGAGGAGGAGGGTGACGGTGTAACAACGTCACACACTCTCCACTCTTGGGCTGAACAATCATGGGCTTCACACTTCAGCTCGGAACACCCGTGAACACTGCTTTGTTCATCTTCATCCTCTACTCTGTGCAGCGCATCGTATTTCCCTCTGTCTCCAAGCCTTCCACCATCCCTCGGGAGTTCAAAGCCGGTTACTCATGGCTGCCTAAAACTCATCCACCAACTGTCTTGTTCAAGACTTACACCGCCAAGACTCTCGAACCGTTCTCTGGCAGGGATGGGGGACGTATTCTGCTTGCTATCAATGGCACTGTGTTCGACGTTACCGCTGGGAGGAATTTCTACGGTCCTAGTTCGTCCCTGAATGTTACTTCTTGAGGTGCTCGTTCACCAGATGACTGCAGACGGGATGTACGGTAACTTCGCCGGGAGAGACGCGTCTCGGGGGATGGCAAAGCAGTCCTTCGATATAGGTACTTGAGGTGTCTCTGCCGTATGCATCACACTCACGCGGCGAAACAGATATGCTGACCCCGATCGACCAACCGCTCGATAAGCTCGCTGACCTGCAGCCGGATGAAATGTTGGTCCCATGCTCTGCATGAAAATCCTTGCTCATGCCCCGTTCACGTGCAGAGACAACATGAAGGGCTGGATCGACCACTTTTCAAACAAATACATTATTTGCGGCAAGCTGGTTGAGAACGATGCCATCTAGTCGCTTTGTAAACATGAATTTCCCGCGGAATAATATTTAGATCTCTGCTGCGCTGGTATATCCCGCCCGCCTGACTCACTCCAACAGCGGGTCTCGAGGGCGATCGCATTATCTCACTAAAAATGGAAGAGCACTGTCACCATCATTGACCATAAAGTAGGCCAAGTTACAGTAAGTGGCTCGCACTTGACTGAGCGCTGTGTTGGTGTTGTGTGTTCAATGTGAGGAACGGGCTTCGCGCTAGACAATCACCCAATGCTGAGGTGCCAGTGGGCGATGCTTCTTTTAATTTAGCTATTTCGTTGGAAGTTCTCGTTAAGTCGCTGCATTGCGAGATTGGACCTCTTGGATGTGAGATGAAGCGCAGGGCCGCGTAGCGGCCCTGCCATTTCACAAGAAGTTAGACCCAAGGATTCGGTCTGACTTGAAGATGTGGAAACCCGGTTCAATTGAGGTGGTGATGAACTTGGGTGCAATTGCATATGTTTCATGTAGTATACTGCGCAAAAACGAGCAGAAACAGCGCACCTGATGCCAGAGGATGGGCAATAGTTACGGGAGGTGTAGGAGAATTGTGCAAAAGAAAAAACGGAATGCCCACAAGCCGGATTGAACGACTGACCTTCTCATTACAAGTGAGACGCGCTACCACTACGCCATACGGGCTTGCGCAGAGAGCCCGAGATTTATCTCACTCTTTTTCTGGATTCCGACTCGGCGAACTCTTCTCCTGGATTGTGTCTTTTGCGGAATGTTTCTGGGTGTAAGGCTTTAAGCCTTACTACTTGCTGTCTCTGGATTGACTCTCACCGACGGTTGCCGTCGGTGACCCAACGACGCATCGCGTCAAAGGTAAGGCTTTCAGCCTTACCAAGATTCTTCAAACTTCTACAACTACTTTCAGCACAGAATCTCATGTCCATCCTCACATTTCCCTTTGAAATTGCCTCAGCGGTGTTCGTGCACTGCGTGCTCAACGAAAATCCCCTGCCTTCTCTCTGCGTTGACGCCGCCCCCGTTTTATTCCTGCAAGTCTGTCGCGAATGGAGGACTGTTGCTCAGTCTTCCCCAGAACTCTGGAATCTGCTCCAAATCGACTTCAGCGAGCGCCTTGTGGCACTATTCGCCAGTTGGCTTACCAGAGCTCTCTCACAGTCAACTACGTCGTTCACCCCAAAAGTTCCACCGACAGCCTTTTCGACCTACTTCGTCGTCATTCCTCTCAGATACAGGATTACGTCGTCTTCTTAGCCGAAATCCTCAGTTCTTGCCCAATCTCGAGTTGTTCAGAGAAGACTTTACTGGGAGCGACTCGCTCTGGTCTCGGCCCAAAGCTCGCGCTTTGTTCCTTTCGTCGATCGCAACCTTCTAAACTCAAAACAGCCAAACTCTTACTTCCCTCGGCGTCGTCCACGCCCAACGTTTCGCTTTGCTTCCCGCACACACCCCTCCTCTAGTTTTGGAATGCAGTTGCTTATTCTCCCGCCTGTCTGTACTTTATAGCCCTCATGTTGTATACGAATAGATCGAATGCATATATGTATATGATATAACACCGCAAAGACTCCGCGTGAAATCCTCGCCATTAAACATTGAGGAACAGCAAGAAGTGAGTTTGTTTGATATTGAAGATGAAGCGGCCATTGAATCAAGTTAGCGTACACGGGGAAGACTTTCGGATGTCGAGGCGTTGTGCTCCGTGTCGGAAGATGGGGGTAAGATGGCGCTGATGATATGGAACTAGCGCGACGCGCTGCCCAAGCCGGATGCACAGATGTCGCTGCAAGTGTCTGCGGCGTTCGCAGGGCGAAAAACGATCAAGTCGACGCACTACCGCATTGACGAGACACACAGCAACACGTATGCGTTAGGCAGACTTATAGCAAGAGTGAATGAAACACGCACCTTCAAATCTAATGCTCTCCATTCCACCACCTACTAGTTTGTGAGAGAGATCGAACCGTCGTATATCGCGCTCATCAATGCTGCGGTTGGCGGGAGGACCTCGTCGACGAAGACAAAGATGGGCCTTCTGTGGTGCGAGCATGAATCGTTTACGGATGACGGTTCTGGAGCTCATTGGTACTGCTCCGTAGGACAAACGTAGTCGCTGGTTACATAGGTGCGCTTCGACATACAAGCCGAATGCGCATGGAGAAGCCTATACCGCCGTCTTGATGAATACAAGTCGCTCTAAAAGTGAGACTCAACTTTCATTGAGGCAATTATTCCATCCGACGTCCATGAACTTGTTGGAGATTGTAACGAATCGAATCTGTTGCCGGCTTCGTCCCATTACTCGACTGTCCAGAGCGGGAAGAGTGGGAACGTCGGTGTCCGTGAAGAAAAGCGAGGGATAAAAACAGAGAAAGAGCAAGAGCTTGACGCGTGGAGCGCGTATGCTCTGACTTCGATCCGTTCACGCTCACCATGCTCAATCACGACCCGATACTCTCCAACCTCCCCTTAACCGGCCCCCGCCATATCGTCCACAATCTGGGAGTCTGCCCGCGCGATGCTACTTGGACCTGAGGTATTTTGGAAATGTTTGCGATGTCGACGATGTCGTTGGATTTGCCGAGAAGGTTCAACGGAAACAAAGCGCGGTGAAAGTGGTTCCCCGCTGTCGTTGCGCACCGGACGGCACGTTGTTGTCGTTTGTCGTCGCGATGAATTTGATGAAAAGGAAGGAGAGAGACAAACGGTAGAATACTATGTGTCACGTCACAACGCGAGGCGAACCTCTGTCGTCGCTCCTCCATTGCACGTTCTCTTGCGATCTCGATAGCGGGGCAAGGGTAAACTCGCCGATTATTCCGGACGTCGAGGTGCGCGTTTGAAGCGGCGGCGTGCAACGGGGTTTACGATCTGAGCGTTGCACACCTGGACACACAGAGAGAACGGCGCCCACTTGCGCTTCTTGGGCTCTGTTTAGCATCCCCGCCCCATCCTCACTTCAACCTCGACACAACCGCGCCCGTTCCCGACTGTCTCTCGACTATCTCAACGTGCTCCCCGCTATCCTATTCACCGCTGTTATGGATTTTGAAGTCGCGCTCAGTATGCATTGATTCAATTTGTATATTTTCTACTCACCTATACAGACTGCCACAGGAAAGCGTTACGCGATTACTCAACGGAGTACCACCGCGTCCACCACGCTTCCGATGTCGACGCGATTATCGAGAAACCGCCATCCCAATCTGAGGAACCGGGCTCGGTGTATTGGCATCGATACACCCATCTTGACGGAACCGTCGAATACAAGGCCGGCCGCAGCAATGACCCCGAACGCAGGCTTGAGCAATGGCGCGAGCAGTGCTACAACTGCCATATCGAACCGTTGGCCGTTATTGAGACAATGCATTCCCACAAACTTGGTACATGCTCGGTCCAAGCATCTTCCCCATGCTAACGATAACTAGAAAGCGTGGTTCACAAGTGGTTCAAAGTCGTTGGCGCATGGATCATCGCGTTCGAATGCACCATGGCTTGGGCACAGCGCAAGGTCCACAATTGAGGAAGAACGAGGGGAAACGAAGCAAAAACAAGCGAGAACGGGCAGGAAACACGCCAAGGCTTGTGGTGTCACTCGAGAACCTCTCAGAATATGTTGCCAGTAGTGTGTTACGCGCATCTAAGAACCAAACACAGCACCCAAGCCGCGACAGCGCGACCCTTCGAGTGGAGGCAGAGGAAGAGAGGAAGACGGAATCGTTGTGACCAATGTGACAGATTGTCAAGCTCAAGCACTTTATATCAAACGTTCAATCTTTAGCTCGGAGTTGTCGTCAACAATCTACGTTCTAAGTCGCTTGGACTCGCAGCCAGCCTATGTAAAGATTTAAATTACTCTTGGGCAGCGCAGGAGGCAACTTGAAAGCTTTGAGTCTGGGGAGCAATAGCTAGTGTCGCCGCCGCTTCAAGTTCAGAATTCGTCTGGAAATGCCAGTGTGTTATCGCCTCTGAGCAGCTGATGCTTTGGGGATCTCATGCGCGTCGCGGTCGTCTATGCTGATGACGAACTTGGGTGTTCTGTTTTGAGTTCCTCGCTGTGCCTTGCATCCTTTGGTGCAAATCATCTTCATGTGTGCGTCCGCTAATTTCTTAAGTCTTGCAGTCGGCATTTGACCTTTCCGATGTCTTGAAGGTTCCTATACAGGATCTTACTTTGTTGAGTCTGGAAGGTCTCCGCCGATGTTTTACCAGCGAAGCAGTCGTTTCTGTCGAGTCGTTCGCAATCCTTTTTTTTTGGTCTTGCCGACATTTACGATCCAAGGGACCAAGACCAGAAAATACTACGCGGCGCCACTTTCAGTCTGGAGTATGTAACTCTGTTGTTGTCCTTGAAAGCATTCTAGCGCGTGGCACATAGCCCATGCGCTCGTTCACGTTCAGACCTTTCAGGCTGGCTGTCTACATAGATATAATTACCTGAACCTCGTGAGCTTTCAAATACACGAGCTCTCACTCTGCTCCATCAGCATTCCCATCCATGTCTGCCAGCCGCGGCTCACAAACCCAGGATCTGGAGCATGCATCGTCGAGCAATCCCGTCGCCGATCCGGTCCGCGTTTCGAGGCCTCAATCCCCTCAACCGTTATCTGCGTCTGTGGATGGAGGTGGATACGGCTTAGTAGCAGACCGGATAAGCGATCCGTCGCTCTTGCTGCTCAGACTTCCCCAACGTGCCCAAACGTCACCGCCAATGACGGCGTAATCTAGCTATTACCCCGACGCGCCAGCATCTGCTGTCCGCCGACCGGACTACCAAAGGCAGAATACTGCTGGCACAGGTCGTCAATCTCACTGGACGGAGACAAGGCCAGGGCATGTAAGCTTCGAATGCGAATTCCCTTTCATGGCCGCTAACCCACTCACCTATTTTAATAATAGCATTCGAGAACGATTCAAGAGCGAATCGAGCCTACTCTCGAACATGCCAAGTCAGAACGAATAAGATGCGAACTCAAAGCAAGGCTAACTGGGTATGCCTTGAATGTGAGCGTTTTGTATCTGTCCAATTCAAGAAAGTCAATTTTGCTCTGCAGATTGCGATTGGTTTGCAAGTACTTTTCGGTGCATTGACTACGGGTGTGGCGGCAGCAACTACGGGTCGGTCGGTGCGTGTTGGCTGTATGGAAAAGTAGCAATTGTCTAAGCAGCCTTCATCAGACGTCTATTGCAACGTCTGTACTCGGTGCGCGCTACTGACTGCTGTTCGCGTTCCTTATTGACAAGTAAAAAATAGGCGGCATGACTACTCTTGTCGCGTCCTATGTTGCGCGGGCACGAGGCTCAAATGAACCGGAACTGAGCATCACTCGGGTCAAGGACTTGGACCAGTTGATAAGAGAGTGTGAAATCCTGATGATGGACTATGGAACGGTGACTGGCAATGAACATCGGACCCAGCTCTCAGCAGACTTCGAGAACGTTTCGAGGAGCTGCTGGGTAATGGGAATGGGTGCGTACTCTTCACTGTGTCTGTGCGCATTCTCACGGATCATCCACTCGCAGTGAACGACGTTTGGCGTCGGTTTGAGGCGAGAAAATGCAACACCCTAAGCCTCACCAGCCTTTTTATTGTATATTTAATACCTGTCGGGAACGCGATAATGATAAAAAAGAATTTGAAAGTATTACAGATACAATAAATTACTTTA